TTGAGAACGGCTTGTTTGGAGGTTCAGCACAAGCGATGGTGGACATGAACGCCCAATGCTTTGATTGGGTAACAGCTTAACATTTTTGACATCCCACCTTTGTCGTTGTTCTAAAAATATCTTGTTACATTATTGAAACGGGTCCTTTATTGATGACAACATAGAAGATCTGTTTCAGAAGTGTTTATTCAGGTTTGCAGCGAAACGAAAGATAGCCCTATAAACACCAAAGCAAAGAAGAGCAAATGACTTGTTTAACCACAATGTTACAGTAACTCTCAGTAGGCCTATATTACACTGTATTCTGTAATAGACAAAGCAATAGAGACAGAGTAGACAATTTAACTCACTCGTGTGTTGAGACATCCCACTAAGCAAAATGATGTAGCCTACAAAAGACGTATTTTCAACATCTTTCTCACAAAAGTCAGACGTCCACTGAGGGGCCGGAATGAAAGTTTTTATGATGTCTTTTTGTGACGTGTTCTGCACGTCCGATAGACGTTAATGTATCCTTCGGACAATATTAAAAACTAGTTCAAATTAGGGCTGGGCGATATATCGCACGATATTGTTAAGCGCATCTAATCAGTAAAGCCGGTTCCTTGATTAGCAGTAAATCACCTTCACCTGCTTTCAGATTGACGATATGATGCAGATATGAGTGTTAAATTAACAAGAGTGTTAAAGTTAATGAGATAATTAAGTGATTAATTTAGTGAAGATTGAGCATTATTGAAGACACCTGATGATAACAAGCAGAATCACTGAAGGAGAAAATCACAAATTGTAAGGCACCGTTATGGAGATCAGTGTCTGCTTTAGTTGGGCTCATGATCCTTATAATTTCACTTTAAATTTTGTTTGTCTGCTGTTTTTGATTTATAACAGTCAAATGAACAAAGAAAATTGTGATCTAGTGTTGGTTATTTTTTGACATAATCATGCTGTGATCTGAAAAATGAAACTTATTCAGATGAATTGGTGTAATTTGTTAGCAACAGTTTAGTGGTTCTGCAGCATATGATAATCTGTATTTTTCTTATAATCTAAAACATTTAATAAAAATTGTTCTGATCAAATCACTTCCAATTGCACTTATTTAAAAACACAGACATCAATAATCCGCCTGTCTATCTCAACAGTGGTGACATTAATAATCCTTGTTGCCTCCAATCACAACTCATCAATGGCTCCCATCATGCATTGTGGTATGAATAAATTATGATCTGAATTGTCTATGTAATTTACTTTTCCTAATTGAATATTCTGCTCGTCACCATTTTTGAGATGCATTGAATGAATCTTGACATCTGTGTGTGCCTTAAAGAAAGATGTCCTTTTTTTTTTACAACTTTTAAAAAATCCTTTATATTAGGCTATATCTCAAATTCTGGGTTTTTATACAAAATGTCAGTTATTATTAGGGCTGCGCGATATATCGCACGATATTGTTATGCCCATCTAATCAGTAAAGCCGGTTCCTTGATTAGTAGTAAATCCCCTTCACCTGCTTTCAGATGGAGCGGCATTCACTACAAAGAGCCGTAGATCACTGACAAGCTGAGCCATATCGCGTTAATATCGAGGACGTATCGATAGCGATATTTGATGCGATATGGCTCAGCTGGTCAGGTAACTACGGCTCTTCGTCACGACAAAATCTCCCGTGTTAAACTAACACACCTGGAGTGTATATGAGTCCACTCTCAAGAGTGTTAAAGTTAATGAGATAATTAAGTGATTAATTGAGTGATGATTGAGCATTATTGAAGACACCTAAAGCAGAATCACAAGGAAAAAATCTAAAATTGTAAGCCACCGTTATGGAGATGAGTGTTTGCTTTAGTTGGGCTCTTGACCCTTATATTATTAACTTTATATTATAATTTGCTGTTGCATCTGAGTTATGTCTGTCAGATGAACAAAGATAAACAATTATAAAATGACGTTGGACATATAATGACATTCATCATTTGGAATTTATGTCTGTGATTAATTCTGTTGATTAGAGCATAACTTAGATTTTGCATAAATATCCATAATTTGAGATATAATATAATGATGGATTTCTCAAAAGTTGTTAAAAAAAAAAACTTCCTTTAGGCACACACAGACCTCAAGATTCAGTCAATGCTTCTCAACAACGGTGACGAGTAGAATATTCAAGTAGGAAAAGTAAATTACATCGACAATTCAGATCATAATTTATTCATACCGCAATGCATGATGGGAGCCATTAATGAGTTGTGATTGGTGGCAACCGGTCACCACGGTTGAGATAGACAGGCTGATTATTAATGTATGTGTTTCTAAATAAAGATGAAATGTTTTGATCGGAATAGTTTTTATTAAATATTTTAGTTTATAAAAAAAAAATACAGATATGCAGTACAATCATTAAACTGTTACCAACAAGTTTAACTAATTCATCTGAAAAGTTTCAGTTTACAAATCACAGCATGATTATGTTTTAACATAACCAACACTATTAAATCATAGATTACTTTGTTCATTTGACTGCTATAAATCAATAACAGCAGACAAACAAATTTTAAAGGAAAAGTATAAGTGTCAAGAGCCCAACTAAAGCAAACACTGATCTCCATAATGGTGGCTTACAATTTGTGATTTTGTCAGGTTTACAAAGTCAGGTTTAAAAGTAAATTAGTTATCACAGGTGTTACTGTACGAGTAACACTGCAGACTCAGCAATGATTGTATTTAATTGCACAGTACAATAACATAGAACAGACATTATCTTCCTTTCATGTCATTCAACATAACAATATTGCTATCATACACTGATGAGAAAGTGCGCGTCCGGTGTGCGATAGATGGAGTTGTCCTAGACGTGGCGCGTCCGGTGTGTGACCCCCTTTACAGCCAACAGTTCACATTCCGAGAATAAATGAAAAGAATAATTGTGCTCCATTCCATAACAAATGCGCGAAACAAGCTGACGTTTGTTGCTTGATAGACGCTAACGCACAACTACAACTTCCACATTTGTCCAGGACTACACGCAGTACGAGCGGAAACCGAGTTAAGCGGATATGACGAGATTGACTCGCGACTCCCAGCTCACCCCTGCTCATACGCCCCGTTTCCTTGGTTAAAATCTCAATTTTCTCGCGATTTAAACAATGGTTGAAACATTTGGAATATTGTAAGTTATCATCTTAACTAAATATATAACACTGGCCTTGTGATTTTGGGATATTTTAATGCAAAAATCTTAGGTATTCCACCTTTAATATTCTGTGCCTGGAGGTGTTCCCTCAACACTGTTGCCTTATGAGGCAGTTTATAGTTGCATTACCTTAAAGCTAGGGTATACGATTTCAAAGATTGTTCATTATTAATATCCTCGTTTAGATGCTGGTTATGGTTATATAGTACAATCCTAACAATATGAATAGAAAAAAGAACGAAAAAAATCCATTCACTCTATTGGCTGTACGGCCGCAGAAAAGTTGACCAATGTAAGCTGTGCGGCCGCACAGCTTATATTGGTCAACTGCTCTCATCCAATCACCAGCTCCGCTTGAAACTCCGCCTGGCGCTCGCGTCTCCAACACATCCACACCCGCCCCCCTACGTGCGCGAGCAAACAGCTGACAGACTGTCTATGGTAGCTAGCTAGTAGCGTCAGATCAGCAATGGATAAAGCAATGGATAAAAATATAAACGACAACAGCAAGCGGCCCCTGCTTGCCCCTACTGTAAAGTTTGGATGAAAGAGAAAGTCTGTGGAGGAAAGATCAGAGATTAAAAAGAAATGTGAAGAACGCCGGACTCTAAGTAGGATAAATATAGCGTCCTTCATTGACCGTTGGAGAAAGCTTCAGGGAGATCTGGGACTGAAAACGACGCTGACACGGATGACTTGTTGTTGAGCAGGTAAACATTTATTTATTCTTTTATGGTGTGACGTGTTACGTGGCTTTTTATCAGTTTGACAACTTGCTCATGCTGCCGGTCGGCATTGGAATGTTAGCCGTTTAGCATCGCCTATCGCGGTTCAAAGTAATTATATTTCTTGTTCGAGGTTTTTGTTCGAGCCAATCGAAATTTGAACAAGATGCGCTGCGTGCTGCAATAACAATTACTGAAAACCTTAGCAATACTAGTAGTATTATAATGGTGGTGGGGAGTTTAGAACATTTCATGTGTTGCTAATCTTGCATTGACGTGAACTCAAACGTGACATACGTCAGGGATCAGGTAGCACAGAGGGGAGGGGGGTGTGTGTGGAGGGGCGGGATGAGTTTTTTAAAACTTCCCTACCGTCTCGACCGATTTTTAACATCGTTATTTATTTATTGAAAGAATTTCTTACCTTAAGTAAATTAAAGCAATTGCAAACAATAACTTAATGAAACCTTAACTGAATGAAAATGTTACAATAAAAAACAATAAATGAAAACGTCTACAATAATAATTTGTGAATGCAATGTCTAATTGAATGTAAATAAAGCATTGTTAATATACTTAAGTTGTGAGTTATTTATTTACCTGTCAACGATAGTAACTATAATAATATAGGTTGATTAAATCATTTTTGCAAAATAACCCAACAAATTTGTTATTTGTATCCCTATTTATTGGGTAAAACTAGTTACCTAATTTTTTGGGTTAAAATAACCCAACAATAGGTCGGTGCTATATCAACCCACCATTGGGTTAGCTGTTGGGTTGTTTTTAACCCAACTTTTTTAAGTGAGTGGACTCATATACACTCCCAGGTGTGTTAGTTTAACACGGGAGATTTTGTTTTGACGAAGAGCCGTAGTTAACTGATAAGTTGAGCCAAATCGCATTAATAATTGCTGGCGATATGTCCTCGATATTAACGCGATATGGCTCAGCTTGTCAGTGATCTACGGCGCTTTGTAGTGAATGCCGCTCCATCTGAAAGCAGGTGAAGGTGATTTACTGCTAATCAAGGAACCGGCTTTACTGATTAGATGCGCATAACAATATCATGCGATATATCGCCCAGCCCTAGTTCAAATGTGGCCATTGTGGACATATTTTCAACATAACTTATGGTCTCATTTAGACAATTTATACTGTTTCTGGACCAAATAAACACTCAGGACGCATTCAATTAAAACTCATGTTTATTTACATTGTTTAGATGTGGTTTAGATGGTGATATTTGTTTCATTTTGAATCACCATTGTGGTGATCAGTGTTTGCTTTAGTTCTGCTCCCAGATCACCTTACTTTAGCTTTTCTTTGGCTGTTGTAATTGTGTGTTTGTGTAACACCATTGTTCGTGCAGAGAAAACCAAGAAAATGAAAAATCAGCTGTCATCAGCTCTTTATTGATGACGACAAAATCAACACAATGCAAGCATTAAACAGCATTTGAACTTTTGTTTTTATATCTGATATTAATAACCACCGATCTTGTGGAACTGCATTATTTGGATCAGAAACTTTAAAATGACCACTGTGTACAAAATATCTTAAGAAAGTGACTCAAATAGTCACACAAAGATATCAAGATTTTGGATATGATTCTCAACGACGGTGACAACCAAAACAAAAAAGCTTGGGAATCAAGGATGTTTTGGACTATGAAACCTACCCAGCATTGCACCATGAAACTTTTTTTTTTATTTATTGTCACCATTATTGTGAATCATATGCAAAATCTTGATGTCTGTGTGTGACTTGCTTTTTGTCCACCTTCCATGCTATTAGCCCAAATAATGCAATTCCACAAGATTGGTGGTAGAAAGTTGATATATCATATTTTTTCTTGCTATAGTTTATTTTTACTTTTTTGTAATACAGCATATTTTCAGCTGAACAGAATAATTAAAAACAAATTTAAATGGGTAAATCATCTATAAATATTTTCTATTCGTAATTTTCTTTTTTGACAGTTCGTTATTACACACAAAACATGTTTATTATGTATTTTTGTTTTGTATGTCATTTTGAGCACTTTTTTGTGTGAAATCATTTTTATTTTGCCCATCAAAAGTGTGCATTCACTTTAATTGACAAATAAATAAAAATGGTTTCATAATTTATGAATTTCCTTTTTTTGAACAATGTAAAAGGCTACCACGGTTCCAAATGCTATAACTTTTTATTACTTTATGTTATCACAACACAATATGATCCAGAAGCAGAACACATTTAGAGGAACTTTACTGAAAAATTATTTTCCTCCTTCCTTATTCCGTTTATTAGATATTGCATATCAAATTAGAAAAATATATAATATTTCCCTTGACCACACTTTTTTTATATCAACTTTTTTTTTCTTAGCATGAGAATGTTTGATATTGTTTCATAGAAACTGTATTGTTTGATAAAATAATAATTAATAATAATAATAATACATTTGAAGTATTATTATTAATTTATGAAACAATACCACATTTTGACTCTCCATGCTACAGTTTTTGGAGTTATCTGTCATTACTTTTGTGTATGTTATTTAGAAAACTTAAAAAAAAAAAATGCAGATAATGTAAAAAAATACAGATAAACTCTACCAAAAAAGACTTATCCTACTACATTACCCTTCCTGAGTTATTGAATTTCAAATTAGAAAAAAAGAAAGTTTACAAACATAAAATTGATCACTAACGTTACTATATAAAGCAAAAAAAAGGAAAGTAAATTAAAATATATGTTTCAAATCTTATCAACCTAAAGTCCTCTTTCTGGTACCAGCACAAATTAATGAAGGTAAAACTAAAGATTTAATACATAAAACTAATTGTAACAATAAAAATAAGTGATTTATGTATCACACCTTATAAATCAAAGTATGTGGCAGTTAAAACAAACTAGATGATAATATTTATAATTTTCATTATGGAGGACAGAAATACATTTTCCAGGGGCCCCAAAATGTCTGGCCTGATTTAAACATGTTCCAGGATTGGAGAGTGGATAGGGTTAAGGGTTTGGGTCTCCTAGATCTGAGGATCACAAGAACTATTCTCACGTCTACGCCTGACTAAGTCTAACAACTTATAAACAGCGGCAGAGGTAACAACAGCGGCACCAACAGCTGCACCAACAGCGGCACCAGCAGCTGCACCAACAGCGGCACCAGCAGGGCCACCAATAGATCCAAGAGCTCCACCAATACATGCACCACTAATACATGCACCAAAAAATAGACCAGTAGTCATATGACCAACTGCAAAAGCTGCTGTCTTCCATCGGGGCTGATACGTGTTGTAAAACTCTTTAAATTCAGGGTTTTCCCTTCGTCTTCCTATATACGCTGCTAGCTCCTTCCCTTTCACCTGTTTTCTCTCTTCTTCCTCTCTCTGTCTCCGCTCTTCTTCCACTCGTCTGAATCTCTGAGCATCTTCATACATCTGATTACTGTAGTGTCCTCCTCCATTCTGCTCTATCATTGTGTCAATCTTCTTCAGTAGATCATTCACCTGATCTCTGTCATTCTCATCTTTATTGTTGAAGACGTGATATCTGCCTCCACACTGCTGAACTAGATCTCTTAATCTACTGCTCTCCTGAATGAGTTTCTCTACAGACTCTCCTTCTAGCAGATCTCCATGAGTGAAGAGAATGATGGAGTATTTTAACACTTCTTCTCCAAACATCATCTCAATCTGCTGAGGAATCTGCTGCTCCTGTTCAGTGAATCTCACACTCACAGGAAACACAATGAGGAAAGCGTGCGGTCCAGGACTGGATATATAAACACTTCTCGCTATCTCTCTCATTATCTCTTCAGGCTTCATCTTTGTGTCGAATAATCCAGGAGTATCAACTACAGTCACAGATCTGCCTGAAACAGTGGTGTGTTTCTCTGAACATTTACTGGTTACTGCATTCATTCTCATCACAGATCTGAACTCTCTCTGTCCCAGTATTGTGTTTCCAGATGTACTTTTCCCAAAACCAGTTTTACCCAGAAGAACAATCCGTCTGGATGAGGGACTGGAGACTGGAGTGTCTGGTTTATTGTGAGCCTTTGCTCTGCTGACAGAAATCCGTCTCCCTTCATCTGATGACATATACAAGAAAAAAACACATGCAAGTCATTTACAGTCCTTTAGACAAGACGGTCTGTGTCTTACTCCACAGGGTAACTGCTGTGTTAGCGACTGGGCCTATTCTTGCAAGAATAAATACTTCTCTTTTATACATTTGATTCTGAGTTGTCTGTTACGCAGTGATGATGTTTAACAAAAATAGGTATCTGTGCATCCCTAATCACAATCATATAATCCACTTTGTAAGACACACACAGTTTTCCAACATTAAGATGCACACATTTTAACCAAAAACTTTAAAACATTTTAATTACTGATTTTAAGAATACTCACACTCTTCTCCCAAAGATCTCTGGAGAATTTTTGCAAGTAGTAATCTAGCCTGGTCAGTTGATCCTGAAATCTTGTTGTTGAACACATGATGTCTCTGATCATATTTCTGAACGAGTCTCTTCAGTGGTTCAGTGTCATCGATGAACTCTTTTATAGTCATGTTTTCTTCCTCCAGTTCGTCTCCTCTGGTGAAGAGAATCCAGGTTTTCTTCAAGCGCTCTTCTCCTAACAGCTCCTCAATCTTCTCCACAGTTTTTCTCTTTTTTTCAGTGAATCTGTCGGCTTTGATGACCAGCAGAAACACACAGGGACCTGATTCACATCTCTGAAGAACCTTTACATTTATCACCTGCTGAATATCTTCATCACTCATGTGTGTGTTGAATAATCCTGGTGTGTCATAAACAGTGACTGGAAACCCATTAACAGTTCCAGATTCAGCAGTAACATCTTGAGTAACTGATCTGGAGATTCTCTTTGATATGAAAGCTTCTCGTCCCAGTATTGTGTTTCCTGATGCACTCTTCCCAACTCCTGTTCTTCCCAGTAACACCAAATTCAAACCTGGCATCCCTTCAGCCAGTTTCAACCTAAAGCTAAAAAGTGCTGCAAGACAAAAATGAACACGCATGATTGTGTTAGTTAGTTTCTGTAAACTCACAATAACAACAAAACCTTGTGCTTTTGTAAAATAATGAAGACAAACAAGATTCACTTTCTGCCATCTCGGCCTCTGTGAACTGGAGCGTTGGGCTGAACAATTTTAGAAAATAGTATAATTTAGGGCTGGGTATTGTTAGGAATTTCACAATTTGATTCGATTTCGATTCTTGAGTCTTCGATTCGAAATTGCAATTTTTTTAAAACCAATATTGCGATTTAATGTTCCATTTATTTTTTAAGCTTGTTATCTTTTGTATTCAACAAAAAAAGCAATAAATCATTGTGTAGTAGGGATGGAAATCTTAGGCACATCATGATCTGATTCCAAAACAATTCTTGATCTACAAAACTTAAATTTAACCGAGAGGGTATGTAGCACTTACGTATTGTTGTCCTACTGTTAGTTTTTCTGCTTCTATTGTTCTCATTTGTAAGTCGCTTTGGATAAAAGCGTCTGCTAAATGAATAAATGTAATTGTAGTGAATCTACATACCAACTGCATTATAAACATAATTTAAATCAATATTTAATTAAATCATCAGACACATTTAATAAACTTATATTTAAAAATCTTTGAATCTTTACATTCTTAGGCCCTTAACTTAGAATCAGAAGATGGCAACTTCTTGAATCTGCAATCCCATTACAGTTTTTTTTTTTTTCACAAAATAAAGTAATTGTTTAAAAATATATGAATATGAGAATAAAAATGAAGTAAACACTGTAACAGGACACTCAGTAATCTGGTAATTTCATGCGCATCACTGATATATATATATATATATATTTTAATACTTTTTAACTTTAGCTTATGACTAGGTAACGCTAATTTTACATTCAGCACACTGAAAACCACATGAATATGACACAGTGGGACACTGGATATAGCAAAAAATATTTTGAAATAAAGGATTTGTGTGAAGCCTGTGAAGCTGACTCACTGCGCACGGACCGTCACTCGCAGGAACACGGTTATTCCGGTGTTGTGCCGAATTCCGACTCCCTGCCAGAATCTGACTCCCCTCGCGAGCACGCGCATGACGTCAATTTGTGCCGCCGCCACTTGCGAAAACAGACAGTAGTCAGACGACGTAAGAAATTACATGATAGAAATTTGTTTGTTGATTTTTGATCATGTATTTATTCTTTTTTTCCCTCTTTGATCATATATTTGACCAAACTCGTATGATTTACAACTCGTATGATTTACAACTGTCAGATTTTTCGCTTGTAAAGTGTTTTTACTACAGTATTGTAAAACAGTGTTTTTTGGGGGGGGTTTTTAAACACTACAGTGTTTTTTGTCGTAAAACAATTAGTTTCGTAAGGGTACACCTAAACATGAACATCATTACTAAATGGAATGCTGACAAATATGTCATTTGACTTTGCTGCCTGCACACTTTCTATAGCTATAAAAACTACAGTGCTGCAAAAACATACTTCCCTATGTAAAATAATAACTATTAAACCTCCTCACTTGTGCTTTTAAAATACTTGGTAACACTTTAAAATAAGGTTCATTAGTTAACATTAGTAAATGCATTAACTAAACTAACATGAACTAATGATGAGCAATGCATTAGTTACAGTGTTTATTAATCTTTGTTAATGTTAGTTAATATAAATACAGCTGTTCATTGTGCGTTCATGTTAGTTCACAGTGCATTAACTAATGGTAACTAATACAACCTTTGATTTTAATAATGTATTAGTAAATGTTGGAATTAATATTAACTAAGATTAATAAATGGTGAAGAAGTATTGTTCATTTTTAGTACATGTTAACTAATGAACCTTATTGTAAAGTGTTACCAAATACTTATTATTCAACCTGCACACTTTTTCTGCCAGGTAGTCTACAGTATGAGATGAGTCTCCAGAATGAGTGTCTTGAGTCTCTGACCCAGCTAAAGTGATCCCAGAGTGGGGGGTGTGAATTCGGCAGAGTTGCCAAAATCATACCCCCCTATGTAAAATACTTACTATTGAATTTAAATTAATACAGTTTTTTTACAGGTAGTCTACAGTATGAGATGAGTCTCCAGAATGAGTGTCTTGTGTCTCTGACCCAGCTAAAGTGATCCCAGAGTGGGGGGTGTGAATTCAGCAGAGTTGCCAAAATCATACCCCCCTATGTAAGATACTTACTATTGAATTTAAATTAATACAGTTTTTTTACAGGTAGTCTACAGGATGAGATGAGTCCCCATAATGAGTGTCTTGAGTCTCTGACCCAGCTAAAGTGATCCCAGAGTGGGGGGTGTGAATTCGGCAGAGTTGCCAAAATCATACCCCCCTATGTAAAATACTTACAATTGAATTTAAATTAATACAGTTTTTTTTACGGTAGTCTACAGTATGAGATGAGTCTCCAGAATGAGTGTCTTGAGTCACTTTAGCTGGGTCAGAGACTCAAGACACTCATTCTGGAGACTCATCTCATCCTGTAGACTACCTGTAAAAAACTGTATTAATTTAAATTCAATAGTAAGTATTTTACATAGGGGGGTATGATTTTGGCAACTCTGCCGAATTCACACCCCCCACTCTGGGATCACTTTAGCTGGGTCAGAGAGTCAAGACACTCATTATGGGGACTCATCTCATCCTGTAGACTACCTGTAAAAAAACTGTATTAATTTAAATTCAATAGTAAGTATTTTACATAGGGGGGTATGATTTTGGCAGCCCTGCCGAATTCACACCCCCCACTCTGGGATCACTTTAGCTGGGTCAGAGACTCAAGACACTCATTCTGGAGACTCATCTCATACTGTAGACTACCTGTAAAAAAACTGTATTAATTTAAATTCAATAGTAAGTATTTTACATAGGGGGGTATGATTTTGGCAACTCTGCCGAATTCACACCCCCCACTCTGGGATCACTTTAGCTGGGTCAGAGACTCAAGACACTCATTCTGGAGACTCATCTCATACTGTAGACTACCTGGCAGAAAAAGTGTGCAGGTTGAATAATAAGTATTTGGTAACACTTTACAATAAGGTTCATTAGTTAACATGTACTAAAAATGAACAATACTTCTTCACCATTTATTAATCTTAGTTAATATTAATTCCAACATTTACTAATACATTATTAAAATCAAAGGTTGTATTAGTTACCATTAGTTAATGCACTGTGAACTAACATGAACGCACAATGAACAGCTGTATTTATATTAACTAACATTAACAAAGATTAATAAACACTGTAACTAATGCATTGCTCATCATTAGTTCATGTTAGTTTAGTTAATGCATTTACTAATGTTAACTAATGAACCTTATTTTAAAGTGTTACCAAGTATTTTAAAAGCACAAGTGAGGAGGTTTAATAGTTATTATTTTACATAGGGAAGTATGTTTTTGCAGCACTGTAGTTTTTATAGCTATAGAAAGTGTGCAGGCAGCAAAGTCAAATGACATATTTGTCAGCATTCCATTTAGTAATGATGTTCATGTTTAGGTGTACCCTTACGAAACTAATTGTTTTACGACAAAAAACACTGTAGTGTTTAAAAACCCCCCCAAAAAAACACTGTTTTACAATACTGTAGTAAAAACACTTTACAAGCGAAAAATCTGACAGTTGTAAATCATACGAGTTGTAAATCATACGAGTTTGGTCAAATATATGATCAAAGAGGGAAAAAAAGAATAAATACATGATCAAAAATCAACAAACAAATTTCTATCATGTAATTTCTTACGTCGTCTGACTACTGTCTGTTTTCGCAAGTGGCGGCGGCACAAATTGACGTCATGCGCGTGCTCGCGAGGGGAGTCAGATTCTGGCAGGGAGTCGGAATTCGGCACAACACCTGTGTTCTGACGACACCAGCTTTCGCCCAGCCCTAGCTATAGTACTTAGCCCATATCCCAAAAATGTATTTATTTCGTAAATTAAATAAAAATACGCCTAACACAATTAATAAAAAGACTTGACACCACCTCCTAAAGTCTTCCTCGAATATCTTAGAAGGAATTCGCCTATATAGAGTAAGTTAGGCCTATAGAATATAGAGGCCTATTTCAGATTTTTACGCAGAGAAATTGCGTAAATGTGAACGTAGTAAAGACAGCTCGAACTTTATGAGAATAAGAAAATAAAATGCAGTGTCACAATGGTTGTCGATCATTAATAAACAACCAAGAGCTTAACAATCTATCATAAGCCATGACTTATGACTTAGCTAAGCATATGACTTAGTCATGACTTTCCCCATAACATACACACCTTAAAATAAAAGTTAAGGGGGTAACGTAACTTTAAACTTACCTTACATAGAAAACTTCATAACATCTCGATTACGCTTTCTGCGAAATGGCTCATGGCCTAGCTTTGCAAGCACCAAAAAGACGAAAAGGAAGGCAAGCGCAAAATGGAAGCTTCTCCTTCGTTTGTTTTGTAATGGCGGTTCGCAACCAACTCAGAGGAGCATCACCGCCACCTGGAGGACCGGTGTGTGGAGCAGTGCAGGAAACATATAAAGAATATAAAGATTATATAAAGAAAAGATTTTTTTTTACAGTGCGTTTGTTGATTGATATATATATCTCAACAAACGCACTGTAAAAAAATATTTTCTTTATATAATCTTTACATAATATATCTTTATATATATATATATATATATATATATATATATATACACACAAGTATGTGTGTGTGTGTGTGTGTGTGTGTGTGTGTGTGTGTGTGTGTGTGTGTGTGTGTGTGTGTGTGTGTGTGTGTGTGTGTGTGTGTAATTTTCCTGGTTTTATACATTTTAATTAAAAACAAAATGTGAAAGTTTATTTTTTGCTGTTGACAGTATTTTATGATTTGTGTTAATAAATAGAGATATCCCAAATCCCCTCTGTAAAAACATTTGACTCTAATATATAGTATCGTTTTTTTTCAGATACTTGTTCAAGTAATGTATGCAAATTAGCACATACTTAATTCGATAATGCCTTATTTGCATATTAAACAAAATTTCAGAAAACTTGCGATACAAAAAATTGCAATTATTAATTATAGCGAATTGGGGTTTTAGGACCAGGGCCGTATTAAGAGCTCACTGGGCCCCGGGGCTATGAGTTACTGCAGGGCCCCCCCACCACTTTAGGTCACCAACTACATGAGCTAAATGTTATATTATTATACGAGTCATTTTATCCATCTATGATATACTTCACAGTTAAGTTATGTTACTTTTAACACGATTTTTTTATCATATCAAAATGTATTGACTAAAATTTCATAATTATTGTGACCAATTTCAATATCACCAAAAAATAATAGTAGCTTAAGAAAATAATCTCAAGCTTACTGATGACAAGAGTCACAAATTAAAATAGAACAAAGGCACAATAAATCGACCTATGAAAAACTTAAAGCACTGAATAATATTATATTATATAAAGTAATCAAATATACAATACATGGTTTTCACTATAAATTCAACATTCATTCTTGTTAATTTTGCAAAAGTAATTCAGTCAAACGCAGTAAATTACTTTCTTTCTGATGTTTGATTAACATTATTGACACACATGGCGACAGCAGCTTTAGCAGCGTCTGTCACTTTGAGACCTCAGAGTCGGATTCAAGTGCGCTGTGCAAAACCGTCTCAAGTTCACCACAGTCTATGGTTCACCTTGGTCTCAAAACCAGCATTTACAAAATGAATTCTCCCGCTGCTCACTGTGCCTGAGCAGTTTGAAATAATTTGTATCCAAACCACAACGTTTAAAAACGCGTTTAAATGATAAACTTACATCATGATGGCGCAGCAAAATTTAAATATTTCTACCGGATATATTATCGCCAGCCCTTTAGGCGAATATAGAGTTTAATCAAACACAAAAAGCAAAATTATACATCCATCAAGTTAATATTCAAACTTACCGAAAGTTTGTGGGGTCGATGACGCTGTGTTTTAAGAATAGACTAGATTAGAATGAAGAGAAGAGTAAAGGCGATTTATTGGTTGATGTATAGCCTATTCTAATAAGGCGCAGGCAGCAATCATCTATAGGCCTAACTTACGTGCAGTAGCAGGTCGGTCGTTCACAAGTTAAATATAGAATAAATGTATTTGTCATATCAAATTAAAACCTGACGTTTCAATTTACCATGCCCTGCTCAGAGCCGTTGGCCCTGCATGCCTACGGGGGTTTGATTGACAGGTGGCCTGGCCAATCATAACGCCGAATACGCAACTTTGTCCGACAACAAAGCTGTCAGTCGGTGGACATGAACTTGAAAACGGTAATGTTTAAATTGACAATATTTGAAAATGACAATATTTGAAAGTTGAGACTTTGTTTCATATCATCAGTAAGCTGCTCTGAACTCTCTCTCGTAATCACTCGTGTAACGTTAGTCTTTGCCCCGCGAAGTATTTTTCACTGCGTGAGCGCATGAGAACATGTGCGTGACTCGTGAGAGCCGCCTGGCTCGTGGCCCGTCACATAGTACCTAAAAAAGGCGGGTCGTTGCGAACGTCTCTATGATAATGATTCCATGATAATGCATGGAATATAAGGCAAAGTGCAACTAAATAACAGGGATAATTTGTGGGGGACGTTGCGTCGTAAGGCTTTGGTAATCAGATGGCTTGCAGTATCTGCTCCACAGCCAATCACGGGCCCCCTCCTTGCTTGGGCCCCGGGGCTTAAGCCCCGTGTAGCAGCCCTTCAACTTGGAATAAACAGGCTTGGGAGTGTTTCCATACGGGTGCACTTTTATTCCGACAAGTGTGCATAGCATCAACACCGTGAAAACTTAAAAGGAAAATAACAAAGGCAGTTTAGCTTGATACAAATAATCCTTTGACAAATGCACATATGCTAGAAAGCTAGCATCAGATAGATAACAGCAAAGCAGGCAACAATCATCACAAAATGAATCTCATTTCCATTTACATAAACATATTAAATGAATTAGTATGCAAATGCACATTACAATGAACCACATACCTCGCTCCGCATATCAAAGGGTGCTAATAGTGATCCAGGGGGGTTTCTGCCACCATTTAACTTAAACTTGGACAAACTTCGTGAATTAGCTTTACTGCCAAACAAAGGAATAACACTTAACATTTTATTTTAAGATTACATTAATATTTTTCGACCTCAGACATGCATTGTCTCATATCATACCTTCCCGCGTTTACACCGTTCATGAGTGAGCGCGTGAGTGTGCGAACACAGAGAAAATATAGTCCCCCCTACAGATAGCATGTCAAAATAAAAGTCTCATAAAATAGAATATAAAAAACAGGATAATCATAATAAAACACTGATACTGGCCAACTACACTCCCACCACTCATGTTATGAAGAGTGAAGAAAAGGATCAACCTGGCTGAACGGCTCATACTTGAGTCTTAAATCTGTATCAGTGTTTCTAGATATGTGCAGATAAGTACTACTTGGCTCTGAGAGTAACCTATGTCACGAGGGGATAAAGGTGTAAACAGTAAGACTGATCAATCACTCTCGAGGAGGAGAACTAGTTTCTGAATGGGCCTTTCTATTATCAAAGGTTTAGTAGGGCGATCTTGTTTCACTGACGTCCTTTCTCCTACTAACACCTTGACACGACGCACTAGTCCATCACTCTCCTGTGTGGCTTCAACCACTCGTCCCAGGTGCCACTGATTTCTAGGGGTATCTTCCTTTATAATGACCAAGTCATCTACCTTAAGGTTCCGTCGAGTCGTATGCCACTTTTGGCGTGTGGAGATGTTCATGAGATATTCTCTTTTCCACCGGCTCCAGAACTGTTCGACGAGGTACTGGACTCTTCGCCACCTTTTAGCTGCATAGACATCCTCCTTCTCAAATTTGCCAGGCGGTGGAAGGGCAATCTTGGACTTCATCAGTATGAGGTGGTTTGGAGTTAATGGCTCGAGCGAGGTAGGATCATTTATCCCATTTACAGTTAATGGACGGCTGTTCACAATGGCCATTGCTTCATAAAACAGAGTTCGAAGGGAAGAGTCATCGAGTCTGCCTGAGTATTGACATAATGTGACATTTAGGACATTACGGACAGTCCGAATCTGGCGCTCCCAGACACCGCCAGCGTGACTTGCTGAGGGAGCATTGAAGATGAACTCACATTGGCTTTCTGCGAGGAAGCTCTCGATAGTTTTAGTGTCACACTGCTTCAGTGCTTCTTTGAATTCATTTTTAGCTCCCACAAAATTAGTTCCATGATCGCAATGGAGTTGACGAACGGCTCCTCTGAGGCTGATGAAGCATCTTAAGGCATTGATAAATGAATCTGTGGATAAGTCCTCAAGCATCTCAATGTGAACAGATCGAGAGGCAAGGCAAGTGAAGATTAAGCCATAGCGCTTTTGCTCTTTGCGGGCTTTCTTAGTGATGAATGGGCCGAAGCAATCGATGCCGCAGTATGTAAAGGGAGCAGAGGCATCTACCCGTTCCCTAGGAAGCTCTGCCATGCGTTGTTCTTCCACAGGCCGCCTGAGTCTTCTGCATTTCACACATCTGTGTATCAGCTTAGCAACAGACTTACTTCCACCGATGACCCAAAACCCATTGGCTCGAAGTTCTGTTAGAGTTTGATTCCGTCCTTGGTGACAGATCCTCTCGTGGTAGTGAGTCAAGATCAGCTTGGTAATATGTCCTCCTTTGGGTAGAATCAAAGGGTGTTTGACTTCAAGGCTTAAGGATGACTGACCTAGTCTCCCACCAACACGAAGTGCTCCGCCTTCTAAGATGGGATCCAAGTGAAACAGAGGGCTGGAATTTTGAAGACCCTTTCCCTTTTGAAGTATCTTAATCTCTTGGGAGAATGCTTCTTCTTGTACAAGCCTCATTACTGATTCGGCAGCTCTCTCACGCTCTTCCACACTTACAGGTTCACCAGGACGAGTTTGCTTTGAATTCAGCCTCTTGATTCTTGCAATGACTTTCAGGAGTTTTGACCAAGAGGAGAATCGATTTAGACGGCTGAGAAAGTCAGACTTAGAAGGTTCTACTTTAGTTGTAAACACTTGCATTGACCTGACCTCAGGATCACCAACAAGCAACTCAGGAGTGAGCTGAAACTCTGGACGTATTTCTTGTTCCCACAGGAATTTGGTTCCTGGTAGCCAGTTTGTTGTGGAGATGTCTACTGCATTGAGACCCCTCGACGCGTGGTCAGCAGGGTTTTCTATTGTGTCTATGTAATGCCACTGGCTGGGGCTGGTGTGTTCTCTGATCATTTGCACACGATTGGCAACGAAGACATGGAACCTTCTGGCTTCATTGTTAATATAAGCCAGGACAACTTGCGAGTCAGTCCAGAAAAATTCTGCATTGATTGGCATATCCAGCTCGTTTCTCAGCATGACACTTGATCTTGCAGCGACCACTGCTGCTGAAAGTTCCAATCTCGGAATGCTTGTAAGTTTTGTAGGTGCAACTCTAGCCTTTGCCATCACAAGGCTGCAGTGAACTTCACCAACTTCATTCTTGCTCCTCAGATAGGAACACGAGCCATATCCTATATTGCTGGCATCTGAGAAGTGGTGTAGTTCCCTCGAGACAATTCTGCAAAAACCTTGCGGTTGGTAGCATCTTGGTATTGAGACTTCATTAAGCCTTTGTAGGTCGCTCTTCCATCTCTCCCACTGTGGGCTTAAGTCTTCGGGAAGTGGGTCATCCCACCCAATGTCTCGACGGCACAGCTCCTGGAGGATGCACTTTCCAGTTAAGATAAACGGAGCTACGAATCCGACTGGATCGTACAAAGAAGCAATGACAGATAATATGCCACGACGTGTGGGGGGCCTGGTCTGTGGATTTACATTGAAGCCGAAGGTGTCATGTTCAAGGGACCACTGGATACCAAGAGCACGTTCTGCTGGAGCTGCATTTAGGTCCAGATCGAGGGGTTCAGATGTGACTGCTCTCTCAGTTGGGTCCACAGAGTCCAGAACTGACCTTTCGTTTGAATTGAACTTATGTAGACGCAAACCTCCTCTCTTGCACAGCTCTCGTGCTTCAGCGATCAACTTCTTTGCTTCTTCTACGGAGGGGACGCTGATAAGCCCATCATCGACGTAGAAGTTCTTTTCAATGAAGGCTGATGCTAATGGATACTCTTCCTTGTGTTGGCGTGCCAGGTACTTCAGACCAAAGTTGGCGCATCCGGGTGACGAAGCGGCGCCAAATAGGTGCACAGCCATTTGATACTCTTGAGGCTCTGCTTCAAGGTCTCCATCCTCCCACCAGAGAAACCGTAAGTAGTTCCGTAGTTCAGGTGAAACGTAAAACTGATGGAACATTTTCTCTAGGTCACAAATTATGGCTACAGCCTCTTTCCTGAAACGACAGAGCACTCCAAGGAGAGAGTTGATCAGGTCAGGACCTGTTAGAAGTGTATCATTTAGTGAGACACCACGGAACTTCGCTGAACAATCAAATACGACCCGTAGCTTCTCTGGCTTCTTGGGGTGGAACACCCCATGGTGTGGTATGTACCACGTAGTCTGCTGTCCTGTTGCAGGAGAGGCTGGCTCTGCGTCACCTTTCTCTATCATATCTTTCATGAAGGCCTTGTACTGTTCTTTATATCGCTCGTTATTTTTCAATCTTTTCTTTAGATGCTGCAGTCGAACTGTTGCAAGCTTCTTATTGTCTGGTAACAGAGGAGGCTCTGTGCTCTTGAAAGGGAGGGGCATTTCATAGTGTCCATCTTTCCTTTGAGTTATGTTGTTACTCAGGAGCTGAATGAAGCGAATGTCATCTTGTGACACATACTTGTCTTTATCTGCATGCTTCCCTTCATTGAAGTCTGATTCCAAGACCTTCAGCAGGTCAATGGTTGATGGCGCTGGTATTTCCTTCACTGTCACTCGATGGACGAACCTCTGGTTTCCCTGGCGATCCAGATGTGGATTGGATGAGCCTATGATGCTCCAACCGAGTTCCGTTCTCTGAGCAAAAGGATCATTTTCGCCTCCTATGACGACTTCCTGGGGGGCTAACGCCAAAGGGCAATCACTTCCAATTAACAGTCCTACCTCACAGTCCTTCAACAGCGGGAGTTTGTTTGCTAAATGCTTTAGATGAGGCCACAGCAGCGCTGTTTCTGAAGTTGGGATGTAGGACTTGTCGACCGGAATGAAGCCACGAGTGTAGGCTTGGCGTAGCAGAATCTGTTTTCCAGACTGTAGTCCTCGAACTTGTAGACCGCAAACACTTTTACTTGCGATGGGTGTGTCAACAGCTGTCATGGTGCTCAGTTTGAGTTGTACTGGTTTAGTCTCCACGTTCAGTTCTTCTAGAAGGTCTTCCAAGACGAATGTAGAATCACTCTGCGTATCTAGAAGAGCATACGTTATAACTTCTTTCTCTGGTTCATTTGCAGATGACATGAACACAGGGACGATGCTTGATGTGGCAAAGATGCGCTGCGTCACTGCATGGGACGTCACCTTGATCTCCTCCTGACTAGTGCCTTTATCTGTGGAAGTGTACTGTTTCTCCTTTGCTTCCACAGACCGGTTCTCTCTCTCTTCATGTAGACAGGTGGGGTGACGTCTGCTGCATATGCCACAAGAGTGTCGCGTTTTGCAATCCTTACTGTTATGTCCCTTTCTCAAACATCCGTAGCACAAATTGTTTTCCCGTATGAAGGTCTTCTTATCTTCCAGAGATTTTGCTGCAAAGGTAGGGCACTTTACGACGCCGTGCATCTCATCTTTGCAGATAGGACAAGGTGGCCTTGACTTGGTGCTGAACACTCTCTCAACCTTTTCCGTGGGATAACTCCCTTTAATGTTTGTGTGAAGTGCTCTAGCTCTCTTGGGCTGTCTGTCATCTGTGGCCTTGATCAGAAGTGGAGAGGCGACAGGGTTACAGGCTATCCGAGCCTCCTTCTGGATGAACCTTGTAAAACAGGAAAAGCTTGGATAATCACCGGATTCGTCCAGTCTTTCCGTGACGACTCTGCTCCATCTTCGTGTGATCCAGTCTGGTAATTTCTTCAGCAATTTGTGGTTCTCTTCACAGTCATCCAAGATGGATAATCCTTTCACATGAGGCATCGCTTCAACGCATCCTTGCAGAAAGTCAGCAAACTCTCGAAGTGCAGCAGGATCACTGGGACCAACCTTGGGCCATTTCATGAGCTTGTCTCTAAAGGCCTTCTGCACAATGAAGTGGTTTCCGTATCTTTCCTCCAGGACTCTTAAGGCCCCCTGATATGCTTCTTCTGAGTTTCTAAAGAAGAATCCCTCTACAGCCTTACGTGCTTCTCCACTCAGATAGTTTTTTAAATAGAACATTTTTTCATGAGCTGGGAGAGGCTGGTGGTCTATGAGGGCCATGAAGGACATCTTCCAGTCTACATACTTTAGGGCTTCGCCAGAGAACTTTGGTGGCTCAGGAGCAGGCAGGCGGTTCATACTGAGTGAGTTAATGAGTGCTCGAGTGAGGTCATCTTTCTCAGGAGATGCTAGCACATTAGCATGTGCTTGAGGAGGCTGGTATGCGATGGCTTTTGGATTAAGCTGGCTTTTGAATCCAACTGTGAGATCCGTCTCCTTTGGCCATTCTCTGGAATCATGTTCAAGGCTCTCGTATGCGTTTACTCTAGCCTCTGCTATTCTTACTTCTGACTCTGCTTGAATTTGCAGTAATCTCCTTTTCTCCTGACGCATGTTTGTCTCTATTCTTTTAAGAGCTACTTGCCTTTCTTCTTCCAACCTTTTAAGAACCAGCTGCTTCTCTTCTTCTAACTTGCTAAGAACTTCTTCTTGAGCTTGTATTTGGTATACAGCTTTAACCTTCTCTTGTTGCGCTGCGAGTTCTGCTTCCGCATCTACATGTTTGCTTGAGCCCTGTGAGTGGATTGAATTTTCTGGAGAGAGCACAGTGTCTGTTTTTGTGTGTCCGAAAACGGATCCATACTCATCCTTCTTAAGCGCCATCCTCACTCGTAGTTTCTCAAGTTCTGGATTGAAGACCTCATCTACAGTTTTTAGCCGTATTTCTATTATTTCACTGATCTCTACCGTGAGTGCTATACAAGCATCCATTTTCGGTACAATGTCCGGGGTGGCATTGTGGTTGCGTTGAATGGGCTCATAACATTCACTTACTGCACTGTGTCGAATTTGGATTTCTTCTCTCATTTTATTTAGTTCATCTTTAGAACAGAATGATTTTAATGTGGTCCTAACCTTTCCTGCCACCTCTTTCCAGGAGCCATAAGCTCTCATGAATTCCTTCTTGTGTTTAATAGCTTCCTGTTTGCGAAACTCTAATCCTTTTTCTGTAAATGTTCTTTCGCGTGAACTAGACCTGACGGCCTGTGGGTTATTGGTTTTCATGGGTAGGTCATGTGTGCTAGCTGCTTCTTCTTCATTAAGTGACATCTTGTTGAAGTTGTGATGCTGTTTGGTTAAATTGAACTACTGGTTTATAGTTTAATTACTGAAATATAGCTCAATAACTCAACCAATGTTAAATATCAAACATGCACTGGGCGATTATCATTAATAAAAATGTAGGCTAACACAAACAGCTTAGCAATGAATGCTATCAAAGGATTTACCCAGGAATGAATTAAACTTTTAACAGGTTCAGTTAGTTCAATAACTCTCCTTTTTCTCTTTTAATTAAATTACCCTTCTGTATCTTTATATTCACCTTTCACGTGTATGGTTACATCAAAACATCAAACATTTACAGTATATGGTCTATAAAAGGTGACTTCAGTCCATTAAATAAACATCACTGTTCGCAGTCAAAGAGTCCCTGTGATTTTATGCAGCAATCAGCAAACGAAATAGACCGATCTTGCCTGGGTACCGGTTGACGTGACAGCGTTTGAACAGCAGGTGGCAGCCTTGTCCACAGAATGGCGGGTGGCAGTCCTTCTAACGTCAAGTTGAATTTCACTCCACATCCAGCGACGAGTTTTCACTGTAGCAGCCCTTCAACTTGGAATAAACAGGCTTGGGAGTGTTTCCATACGGGTGCACTTTTATTCCGACAAGTGTGCATAGCATCAACACCGTGAAAACTTAAAAGGAAAATAACAAAGGCAGTTTAGCTTGATACAAATAATCCTTTGACAAATGCACATATGCTAGAAAGCTAGCATCAGATAGATAACAGCAAAGCAGGCAACAATCATCACAAAATGAATCTCATTTCCATTTACATAAACATATTAAATGAATTAGTATGCAAATGCACATTACAATGAACCACATACCTCGCTCCGCATATCAAAGGGTGCTAATAGTGATCCAGGGGGGTTTCTGCCACCATTTAACTTAAACTTGGACAAACTTCGTGAATTAGCTTTACTGCCAAACAAAGGAATAACACTTAACATTTTATTTTAAGATTACATTAATATTTTTCGACCTCGACATGCATTGTCTCATATCATACCTTCCCGCGTTTACACCGTTCATGAGTGAGCGCGTGAGTGTGCGAACACAGAGAAAATATAGTCCCCCCTACAGATAGCATGTCAAAATAAAAGTCTCATAAAATAGAATATAAAAAACAGGATAATCATAATAAAACACTGATACTGGCCAACTACACCCCGCCTAGCCCTATGGTTAATGCGGCCGTGTTTAGGACTATTCACTTTAAATGTTTGTAGATTCCCCAGGAATACCTTCTAAGAGGCTTTTAACAGTAATATGTAAAGAGCAACTTCCTATAATCCTCTTTTCAGCAAAAGTCACTTCCTTTGAGGTTTTATTGGGGGCTGGAAAACAAAGCGTTTGTGCATTTCTGCCACAACTGGTATTGAGTGTCAGATATTCTTCCCTCAGTTTTAACACCCATCCGTCTCAATCAACTAATTTATTTTGATCATGAAAAGGAAATCAATAACACTAATTTGTTACTTGCATAATAATTTTGTGGTTCCAATTATTACTGCGCGGCTGTTTCCCGGTTCAACAATGGCAATGCTCTACACCCGCTGTTTACAAGAGCTGCTAAAGCTTAACATCACAGATGTTCAACACATTTGTCATATGGCACCTACAAACAAATTAGTAAAGAATTTAAATGATATGCTGCATTATACAAAACTAGGAAGAAAAAAAACATTTAACTGACCTAGCTAACTAAAATGTTAACGTTAGCTCTAGTTTTACAAATTCGCCAACTTACCGGTAAGAGTTTCGAAATGATCTGTCTAACGTTTAAAATGCGACATGCTTTATCCAGTTTAAATTCTCTACAAGTGCAGGCAGGAAGCTTTGCAACTTTGTTCACCCATTGTTCAGCGAGACTTAGCCAAGTTTATTCATAATGGGAAACCAAATTAACATTTCATGAAGAATAAGCTCACGAAGACGAAATGAGAACGCTAGAACATCATCTTTAACAAATAAACAGCAAACAAGAGAAATACACACTAACAGAAAAGAGAACTGAAAAACACTGAGGACTTATCAGCAGGAATCAAACAAAGGAGCTCATGAGCCTGGGGATGTTTTATTTGTATTAGGTACACTGTAAAAAATAATCGTAATTTTAACGGTAAAAGACCATAAAAATGCTACAGTGCAAAACTGTTAATTGGTTAACAGAAAGTTTCCGTACTATATACGGTAAATAACTGTGATATATTTTTTACAGTAAAATACCGTTAAATTATAAACAGTTTTTGAGAGTGAAAAAGAACTCCTTGTAAAATTTACAGTGAAAACCCGTAAATTGGCATTCCCACAATTCCCTGCGTCACACTTTACATTTTATGCATTTTTGTTGAAATAACTGTTTCCTCATAATTTTCTTGTTTTTTTCTAATCAGTTTATGTAAATTAGGGTTTTATGTTACATTTAATGTTGTTAAATGAATGTTTATTGCATTTTTAAATTTCACGTGTGTTACCATGATGATGTTTAATGTTTGTGTGAATGACACTTGCAGCTTCTTTTCATAAGTATCTTTTGACGGACGACAACTTGATGAGCTGTGATTGCTCATTTAACTTAAATCACTGCTGTGGTGATTGATGTTTATCAGTGTATTACAATAGTACAAAACAGAAAAATCAAATTGTCATAAAGTTATTATCTCAACAGATATCAGTAAACGAAATACGGTTTATTACTGTGAAGGGGATTACGGTTTATTATTGTAAAAGTGATTATGGTTTTTATGTATTTTTTACAGAATTGTTCAGTTGCCAGCATTATTCTGTAAAAATTAGGGGATTTTTTTACAGTGTAACCTCACTGTTTCAAAAAGTGGTGGGTAGCCAAATGACTAATGACGAAAATATGGTGGGGACCCACTATCCCCACCGAAATCGACGACGCATATGCACCTAAGTACAAAAAAAAAAAAACTAAAAAAAACATTTAACGTTAGAGTTGGTGAAATATACACTGATGATGTCTGTAGAAGAGGTAAAAATAACTCTATTTTAGAAGATTTGGTGACTTGCCGCAGGTGAATTCACTGTCGCTCAGGGGCGGCGCAAGATAATTTTTAACGCAGGTGCTGAGGGGGTGCTAGATCATTGACAGCATGTGCTCCAGTTCAAGTGCAATGCAATCGTGCCCACGCCTCCATATCATGATCATTCTTCAACATCATAAATTCTCAGAAAATGCATTTAATACCAATATTAAAACGTCTGTTTATATACTCCATTAAACAAAGGAGACTGGGCCACATAACGAGAGTGCTACAGTTGCATTTTGCACATTTCCATTTCCGGAAGACTGTAATAAAATCTTTATTGTAAAGACAACTTTCTACTAAAGAGAAACATTTTATTAAAAAAAAAAATTAACAGCAATATTCATTGACCAGGAAATGTCAACTACAAAATATGGATCAGTTGTGATATATGTAAGCTGTAAGGCATTCGAGGCTGTGCTGTATGGTGAATAAGTAACAGCTGAAGGGCGCTGTTACACTCTTAGAAGAAAAGGTTCTATATAGAACCTTTAAAAGGTTCTAAAGCGCTATGTATTTGGAGCCCCTAAAATGCAATGCATGAATGATCACAAAATTCAAGATATGGGGGTTAAAAAATTTAATTAATCAATATCACACGAAGAGTGCCATTTCGGTTTTTATCCTCCAAAAATCAGCATGATTAAAATGGGATTTTAAATTAAAAATTTTTGCGTAAAAGGTCCTTTGGAGTTGAGTAAAGAACCCTATGCTACATATATAGAACTTATTCACACTACAGCACTTGCCTCGAGTGCCTTACTGCTTTTATAAAACGGTTACCACACAATACAAATATTAAAGTAAAAAAAATATATGAATTAGTGCAACTTTCATGAAGTAAAATCACTAAAAGCCTTCCTTCCACTAGATGAAAAATAGTCCCTGACCGTGAACAGCAGTAACGCTCCAATGTGTGATATGCAGGAAAGCTCAAATAAACACAGCATAGGAACGGCAGTGTTGCGCAGTGATATATAGAGCCATTGGGTGACGCGATCATAGCCGTGTGTTATCGTGAATAAAGCCATTGACCAATCAGAATCAAGGATTGGAACTAACAGTTTTATAATATAGGTTAAGATATGAAATAATCAATTATAAAACTTAAAAATAGTGATTCACATTTCTTAAATCTCTTTGACTAAATTGAACTTTCTGGCATAATTCAAGACATTTGTTCCCACAAGCACCAGAAATCGGACAAAATGGCAAATTTCATGAGATTTACAACAAGCCTATTTACAAGTAATATTGAGATTATTGTGCACTATGCATATTAACGTTTGATATTGAGAAACTTCTTGAAGATCTTTATTATATTCTGACTAACACAAGTCTTTTCTGCCTCCTGTCTGGTCCCGCTGAGCTTTTCTTTATAATAACGCTTGCACTCAGTCTTTTCTCTCTCCTGCTCAGAAGCTGTTAATGCCTCTATTCTCTCCTTTAGTTTCCTATTTTCTTCACTATATCTGGATTCAAGTTCCATCTCTTTCTCCTGTAGTTTCTTCTCGTACAGTTTCTTCAGTTCTTCTTCTTTATTTTTCAGCATGAGCTCCACGTCCTGGTAAGAGTCACTGGTGTAAAATCCTCCTCCATTTTCAAAGATCATGTCGTCCACTTTCTGCAAGAGCTCCACAACCTGATTACGATCCTTCATGTCTTTATTGTTGAACACGTGATATCTTCCTCCACAGCAACTCAGGACTTCTTTCAGATCCTCACTGGCTTCAATGAATTCTTCAATAGTGCCGTCTGTGAGTTGATCCCCGTGTGTGAAGAGGATGAGTGTGTGTTTATCTGCTTCTTCTCCGAATATGGCTCTGATCTTCTCCACTGAGTTTCTCTCTTCTTTAGTGAATGTCTCCAGTTTAATGACCAGGATGATGGCGTGAGGTCCAGGTGCCGTCATGTTTATACACTTACTGATCTTCTGTTTCAGGAGCTCCTCCTCTGAAATATCAGTGTCAAACATACCGGGTGTATCTACCACTGTGATTTCTCTTCCAGCCACTTCTTCAGTCTGTTTCCCACACTCTTTAGTCACGGATGAACCACTTTTGGCGGCTCTGAAGGCTTCTCTGCCCAGGATTGTGTTTCCAGAAGAACTTTTCCCTGCTCCAGTCATTCCCACCAACACCAGTCTCAAACACACTGAACAAGAGTGACACAGAATCAGAGAAAGAGAGAGAAGACATCAATAAACATCAATAAACTAAAATGGATTGATTGTGAATTGATTCAAAAACATTTGTGAACGTTTATACTCACTATTAGGTTGATCATAAATAAAGCTGCCCCTTCTACCTACAAAAAAAAGAGAAAAAACGATTTCATACACGTCCTTTATTTTGCTAATTGAAATAATCAAAATAGAGGCTGTGAGGCATTTTTTATGTAATACAAAGATTAAATCATTAAGACATCTGATTAGTTAACATATGTCATGTGATCAACATCTCTTTACAGCATTAAACATTCAACAATACATTTCCAAACTCAAAAACACCACTTCTTTTTATACTATTCGACAATATAAAGTAGTGAACAGTTCAGATTCAAGGCTGCTTGTTTCATAGGAATTCACAGCACGTTTTGTTGTCATTTCAACCATACGTCATTATTAAATGTTTGCAATTGCTTTACAGGAATCCTCTGTTAACATTAATTATATTAAATAACTGACAACACGAAGTGTAAGTAACGATGAAGAAAAGCTCTAATAAATTCAGGCTCGTTTTTGAAATGGAGGTAAACAACCTCGCTGAAATCGAAAGTAAAACAGACCGAAGACTGGAGAAAATACGCACATATCTGTTAACGCATTAATTTCGATCAGCTTTAGTCTAAATTTGTTAATAAAGGCAGAAAGTTACCTGCTGTGTCTGTTGTGGGGCTTGAGGAGGCCATGGTTCAGATTTATTTATCTGCGTCACTTGCGATGATAATGGCGAATCTCTCCGGCGCGAGCGCTGCGATTACCCGGAAACAGGAAACAAGCGAAAATAAAGTCAAGAATTAATTCTGCTATAATAGCAGAATTACAGCTATATAGTTCAATCTGCGGAGCCTGGGTGTAAGATATAGAGGAGTAGTGACAACTTATATGATTTTATGTCGAGAGCTAATATATCCTTCTTTTTCCATTTTTTGTCCTGGTGTTTAGGGGAGTGGAACTACGGAGCCCATGAAGGGACAAAAAAACAATGAGACGGGAGGAAACATTGCGTTCCCTCACAATTTTGCGTTCTCTTGGAAATGTTCCCTGTGAAAAACTTTCCATTTCGCCAAGACACGAACACAAAGAGCTAAAAAGTTTTGCGAGCGAGTGCAAAAGTTTCTTGGAGGATATCAAAACATTTGTGAGAGAATGCAAAATCATCACGTTTTTTTTTTCTTCTCCCATCCCAGCTAACAGAGATGTTCTCAACTTTGGCTAACATTCTCTAAAGGTTCTCTTAAAGTTATCCCCAAAAAAATTCCAGCAACTTTGTAGAACATTTTCTCAAGGTCATGCCATTTTAAAACGTTCTAAAAACATTATTAAACATGTCTTGACAAAAGTAATTATACTTTTTTTCTTTTGCAATTCAACTTAAGTGTTAGTTCACCTAAAAATGTAAGTGTCAGTAATTGCTCACCCTCATGTTGTTACAACCCCGTAAGACTTTTGTTCATCTTCAGAACACAAATTAAGATGTTTTTGATCAAACCAGAGAATGTCTAATTGAAGAGAATAGTTATAAAGTTCTGTTCATCTGTAAAAGGTTAGCTAGCTAAATGTTGATCACTCAAAGAGCTATGGCTAACTTGTTCAAGTCATGCTCCTCAGCCATTTCTCCATACACAATAACATCATTCAGGTATTTTTGACTCCTGGAACATTAACTTGATTATTTGCATTGTGTGATTATCTGCATTTTAGTTCACCCAAAAATGAAAATTAAGTCATTAATTACTCACCCCCATGCTGTACCAACCCCGTAAGACCTTCGTTCATCTTCAGAACACAAATGAAGATATTTTTGATTAAATTTGAGAGGTGGATCACTGCTACATTGGCTCCTAAGGGACTGAAACTTGAAGGCCCAGAAAGTCAATGAAGAAAATGTTTAAATATTCCATGTGACTACAGTGGCTCAACTATAAGTTTATCAAGCGACGAGAATACTTTTTGTGCAAAAAGTAAACAAAAATAATGACTTTATTCGACTATTCCTTTTCTTCCTTAGGCATGAGACGAGAGTTCAAGAGATTTCCATGCACGACGCATGCGCGAGAACTGAACTGAAGTAGTTGAAGGAGATCGCAATTGCGGTCCGTTACCATCCTGATCACTGTACTAAACACAGATAAATCTATGCTAACTTGAAGCTATCCTAACTGTACTATGCTACTAACTGAATAGGCTACACAAACTAATCTTAATAACCACTGTTGCTGCCCCATTCATCGCCCTACTTAAGCGTCCTGATCCGCCCGCATCCAATCACTGCTTTTGGTTGGTTTAGGGTTTAGTTAGCCTACTCTTTAATATGAATTCAGTGAGAAATACAAATTTTGAGAGAATTATGAAAAAAAAAAGAAATAACATTGGTAACGGGCTGAAGAAATTCAAGATGTGCTAATTATAGAATTTAGTCTATAATTAAGTGTTGGTCCAAGAAAAATGTCTTGTGTGTAAAAATATCCAAGAAAAGGGGGATGTTATGAATCAGGATTAATAGGGTTGTTTCAAACATCAGTCACTAGATGGCGCTGTTGCCCGTGGGGAAATCTTCAGGAAATGAGAGTTTACAGAGTTGAAACCTACACTAGTAAATTATATATTTTTTATTTAAATATACTAGTGGAAATGTAATTCCTGTTTTAAAAGAGTAATTGTTACTAGTGGACATTCCATTCATTTTAACCAGTGAAAATTGAATTGTTCATATAACAAATTGAAATTCATATAGCAGTGAATGTGGACTGAGTCTGGAGTAGAAACATCCAGAGCCAACGTGCACAGGCGTGTGCAGGAAATGGGCTACAGGTGCCGCATTCCCCAGGTCAAGCCACTTTTGAACCAGAAACAGTGGCAGAAGTGCCTGACCTGGGCTACAGAGAAGCAGCACTGGACTGTTGCTCAGTGTAAAAGTCAAAACAGCTTGCAGGAAAAATATATAAATAATGTTATGCATACACTAGGCTATTTCAGGTATGGAGCCTAACTCGCCGATTGCACCTTAACCTGTTTTTGAGAAAGAGACAGCAAAATAAATGTTACACTCAACCTTTTTGTTCTGTATTTTGTAAATTCACTGTTTAATCTTAATCCATAAATGTTGCAGTTTCACAATGGAAATATAACAATGAAAGATGAATTCACAAATAAAGAACCAGATTCACTAACAAATGAACTGTCCCTCTTCAAGTAAGCTCGCATCGCTGTGTGTCTGAGCGGTGTTTCGTCTTTAACACAGCCTGTGCTGTTCGTCAACGCTTCCGCAGGTCCCCCAAGGTCTGGAACGGTCCTTCTCCACAATCTTCCTCAGGGTCCGGTCAGCTCTTCTCGTTGTGCAGCGTTTTTTGCCACACTTTTTCCTTCCCACAGACTTTCCACTGAGGTGCCTTGATACAGCACTCTGGGAACAGCCTATTTGTTCAGAAATGTCTTTCTGTGTCTTACCCTCTTGCTTGAGGGTGTCAATGATGTCCTTCTGTACAGCAGTCGGGTCGGCAGTCTTACCCATGATTGCGGTTTTGAGTAATGAAACAGGCTGGGAGTTTTTATTAATTAATTTTAAAATTAATTTGAGTTAATTCGTTGATTCAGATGATTAGGTTAATAGCTCGTTTAGAGATTTCAATACTAATTTTTTGAGACAGGAATTAGTGCTGTATGCCAAAATCATGCGTATTAAAACAATAAAAGACCTGAAATATTTCAGTTGGTGTGCAATGAATCTAAAATATATAAAAGTTAAATTTTTATCATTACATTATGGAAAATAATGAACTTTATCACAATATGCTAATTTTTTGAGAAGGACATGTACAGCATACAATCAAAAATTAAGTTAATGATTTAAGGGTCAAGACCCCAGCTAAACCAATCATCGATCACCATTATGGTGACTTAAAAAAATTCCAGTTTTCCCTTTTCAGTGATTCTGCTTGTTACCATCAGGCGTCTTCAATAATGCTCAATCATGACTCAAGTATTCACTTAATTATCTCATTAACTTTAACACTGATTCAGGCTATGTTTACACGAAAACGATTCTGAAGAGAAAACGCAAAAGTGGAGTTGCGTTGTCACTTTTTATTCTGCGTTTAGACAAGCGTTTTTGGTGGAAAATCCGCGTGCATCTGGTGACCATAGACATAGACAGAGCGATCTCATTGGAACTCCATTGAGACGATTGAAGCCCGTTTTTTAAGCACTTCCGTCCCTGACGCGCAGACTCAAACAGAGCTTGACGACGTAGATGTGACGTGAGTGACCCGTCTGTCTTCAAGTGCTGTAGCATGAGAAATCTGAATCATTCCCTTCCGAAACATAAAGAGGTGGAGAGTGTGAGTAGGAGCTGTCCATGAGCGAGGAGCAGGAGACACTTTTGCTAGGTATTCTGATTAATTATTTTGTCATTTTGCCTCCACGTTTCCCCGATTGCCCGCGAGCTTCTTCTCATGTCCATACGGTAATCTCTTTACTGTGCGACAGAGAGTCGCGTGGGTATGACGCAATCGTTAGCATACTTTCACTAAAACTGCTTCTACGGGGCCATAGCATAAACTACAAGATAATGGAGCATTTTATACATTGTCGTGTTTCTTCAGAAATAAATAAAGGACAAATGGGGTCTTCAAACGCCTCAGATGTAAAGTTATTCCCTGTCAAAGTGACACCAAAATGAATGGGAGTCAATGGGAATGATAACGCAAGTGAAGTTCTGCTACAAGATGGCAGCTCCCGCGAGGCTTCAACTTCCGGTCGATGGATTACCCCCTTGCTGGTGACGCAAAAGTGTGTGAAATTCGATGTAGTATGCACTCCAGACGGCTAGGTGGCAACATGAAGCACTGCCACACAACAACACCAAGTCCACGCGCCTGTGTAGAACCTTCACTGTCAAGCAGACTTTTGTGTTTTTACCCTTTACACGGGAACGCGGCGGTGAAGAGTTTTTAAGATTTCCACTCTGGAGGGTGGTTTAAGTTTTTTGCGTTTTAAGCCCCAAAAACGCCGTCGCCGTGTAAACGAAAGGCACATCCGATAAAATATTTTTACGTTTTCACCCACGAGTGTTCTCATGTAAACAGGGCGTAAGTGTTCATTTAAGGCTATGTTTACACGGAAACGATTCTGAAGAGAAAACGCAAAAGTGGCGTTGCGTCATCACTTTTTATTTTGCGTTTAGACGAGCGTTTTGTGTGGGAAATCCGCGTGCAAATGGTGACGCAAAAGTGTGTGAAATTCAATGTAGTATGCAATTCAGGTGGCTAGGCGTGCATTCTACAACAACACTTTCACTTTTTTGCGTTTTGAAGCCTCAAAAACGCAGTTGCCGTGTAAACGAAAGGCACATCCGATAAATATTTTTACGTTTTCACCCGGAATTGTTCTCGTGTAAACGGGGCCTAACACTCAGCTCAAAATTTATATAATTCACACTCTTAGTGTTAATTTAACATTGGGGATTTTGCATTGATCATTTTATTGTAGCTATATATTAAAAATGATCAATGTAGGAAAAAGTTAACAGTGAGACAGGTTTTTACTGTTTAGGTTTTTACTGTTAAGTAATTAATATTTACAGCAGAGTGAGTTCAAGAGTGAGTTCAGATCACAATTCAGATCATCAGAAATATGTCCTAATGTATGATGTGGTTAAATTTAATGACATTTAACTGAGAAGAACTGATGGCTGAAAATATATCGAGATCACCTCAATAGATTTCACAAGAAAGGAAAATATCTTGATCATATCAGAACAAAACTTGACAAAGATATATTCATATAAAACATATAACATTTAGGAAATATTGGTCTGTTTTTTGTGTGTGTGTGTGTGTGTTTAAATATATGAATGACATATTACGTAAATCATTTTAGCAACAAATAGCGATATTATATCTCCATGAACACATGAAACATCCATAATCTAAACTAGCAGGTATGAAATTATGTCTTCCTTCATAAAATACATTGTCAACCACCAGGCATTACATTATATTAAGGTTGAGTTGAAGAAAATATTTTCAGGAGAACGAATACTAATACAATCACAACAACACTTACACTTACACCTGCACCAATTATGTACTTATTCTCTTTTACAACGTGTTTGAACCCACTGTCTCTCTCTAATGCTGTATGTTCACTCTCTATCTCTTCATCTCCGCTCTTCTCCTCCTCTTCTTTCTTCTCCTCCTCTTTCCTCTTCTCCTCCTCTTTTCTCTTCTCTTCTTCTCTTTTCTCCTCCTCTTCTCTCTTCTGTTTCTCCTGTTCAATATATCTCCTCACACTATTTTCTGTCTCTATTTTGACTCTTTCTAATTGCATCTGGTGTTCTCTCTCTCTCCTCTCCTCCTCTCTTATCCGCTCTCTCCTCTCCTCCTCTCTTCTCCTCTCCTCCTTTTCTCTCTTCTCCTCCTCTGCTCTCCTCTCTCTCTCCTCTCTTCTCCTCTCAGTCTCCAGCATCATGTCGAGTGTGTAGCAGGAGTTTGTGTTATCAGATATCAGTCTCTCGATCTTCTCTATGAGTTCAGTCACCTGTCCTCTGTTTGCTGGAGCTTTAATGTTAAACTCATGATATCTCTGCCCACATCGGTTAATAAAATCAGATAATTGAGGATTCATCCTGATCATTTCTGCTAGTGTCCTCATGTGTCTCTGACCTGCATGAGTGAAGAGCACTACAGTAAATCTGAGAGCTTCTTCACCAAACTTCTGCTCAAACCAACCAGTGAAATCCATCTCCTGCTCAGTGAAAGTGCTTAAAGACAGAAGAAGCAGGATCACATGAGCTCCTGGTGAACATAATTCAAGAGCTTTCTTCAGCTCTGAGTCTGAATCAAAGTCAGTGCGAGTGGAGAAGATGAAGTCTGGAGTATCGATGACTCTCACGCTCCTGTTATTAACATTACCAGTGTGTGATTTACAGGATCTGGTCACTGATGAAGAGCTCATTACTGACTTAAACACTCGATCGTTAAAGATGATGTTCCCGGTGGCGCTTTTCCCGGATCCGGTTTTACCGATCAACAGCAGCCGAAGATCTTCATCAACATCATCTCCTTCTCCTCTCACCTCTGTGTTCTCAAAGTTCTAACAAACACAGAACAACACAACCAATGTTAGTTTAAACACCTACTGTACATATGCTTGTTAAAGTAGTAAAAGTGTTGCTCACCTGATATTTCATGGTCCCTGTTTGCTTCTTCAACAACACTTTCCCCAAGATGTATTCACCAACACTAAACACCAACACAAATATTGCAGGGTTATAAGACGGAAAGATACTATTATATGATTTCTGAGTCATGGCATACCTCGACCTAGCCCCTTTGCTATGTGCCGGATGGGCTGGATATGTCCAGGGCTGAATTTCAGCCTCAGTCAATTACATCCCAGTTAACAGACTTTTGTTATAATAACGTTCTCCAAATATTGGTTCTGGGAATTTGAAAAACGTTTTCTTGACGTTAGAGCAGGGTTCCTCAAGTCGGTCCTGGAGGGCCACTGTCCCTGAAGAGTTTAGCGCCAACCCTGATCAAACACACCTGAGCAAGCTAATCAAGGTCTTCAGAATCACTAGAAACTAGGGCTGGGCGATATCGCTCGATATTGATATGCGCATAATCAGTATTCCTTGATTCCTTGATTAGTAGTAAATCACCTTCACCTGCTTTCAGATGGACGATATGAGTGTTAAATTAACACTCAAGAGTGTTAAAGTTAATGAGATAATTAAGTGAGTAAATGAGAGATGATTGAGCGTTATTGAAGATGCCTAAAGCAGAATCACAAGGAGAAAATCGGAATTTTAGGTTCGGGCTCTTGACCCTTATCCTCCTAAGACCCGAGTTTTGGGTGGAAAAGTCCAGGGGTCAGAAAGTAAAAGTACTGCCACATTTTTTTTCCGCCCACAGCAAAAACTACAGTGTTAAATGAACTTTATTGGGAGTTTATTTGGATCCAGACTCAAGAGTGTTAAAGATGAACTGAACTGAAAAATATTGACATTGAAAACGTGTTGTTTATGACAATTACACTAAACATTTAAAAAATATATTAATATAGGCCTAGCTTTTTTTAAGTAACGCAAAATTGCTCTTGTTAGCGCTGGCAATTTCGATGACGTCACTGGCATGGTAGGACCCGCGGAGCTCCATAGACAACAGCTGTAGGTCCTGTATACACAGACGAAAATGAGCACTTTTAACGGCATGGATTACGCATTTGAGCCCGTGAGGGACAGGCCGGTAGTGTCTGACTACCAGCACATGGAGGACGATCAGTTTCAGGCTCCACTTACAGTACAGGATCGTTTTGGGGGAAGTGACTGTGGGCGCGAGCGCTGTGGAGCATAGACACTGAACGGAGACGATCTGTTGCAGAGGTCAACCTGGAACATTTATTGATCGGCGAAAAATGCATCACCATGCACCGTTCATTTCGGATGCTGTTCGGTGAGAGAAACGTGTTGGGGGCGGAGGCTATGCTGTCTCTAATGGATGTCCGAGCTGAGACGCTGGACCGCCCCATAAGTAGCAGGGTATTTTACGAATAGGTGACGGCTGGGCTAACTTGTTACACTTTTCTCAGACTGTTTAGATTAACAGCGTACTGGCAGTTCACTCTATGGGCGAGGGTGCATTTAGGAAGGAGAAAATCCCATCCTCTACAGTGAACTATAAATCAGGGATCGTTTCCCCCTCACCCAGGATCGAGTACGTTAACGTAATGCGTTGAACTTGTAACTTGTGTAAATAAAACATTTAATGCAGACATTGTCAGACGTTTCATGTACTCATTGACGAAAGTACACATCTCTAAATAGTGTGTCGCTAAAAAATCTGTTTCCTCAGCCATGTCAGCGCGCCTCAGACTGTTTACAAGCTACAGCTGTTCGGCTGGTGCGGGTAGGCAACGGAGTGGCTTACCATGCCAGTGACGTAGTCGAACGTTGAAATCCAACATGGCGGCGCCCGTGTAACAAAAACAACACTTTCAATGTACCATTTTATCCCTTTTAACAAATTCTGCCATTTTAAAAATTGTACCAATGAGAATAAATAAAATACATCTGTTATATCACCTTTTCTCAATTTTCAGTTCAGTTCATCTTTAAAGTTAATGAGATAATTAAGTGAATCAGTCATAGAATAAAATGAATTAACAAATCAATAATATTCAACAATATTATTGATCTGCCTTACTTAAAGGTTGTCTAAGCGATGTGGGGCCAAAACATTTTTTGTCACATACATCAAACGTCTCCTCACTATCGGCTAGCTGCCTGTCCCCTAAACACACTGTAAAAAAACGCGGTCTCTGTAGACACCACAGGCTCCACAAACGGCAACAAAAACAATCATGTCTCACCCGGACCACGAAACCTAACAAACAGTGTTCCAGCCAATCACTGGCAAGAAGTATTTGAGGGTGGGTCTGGGGGGTTAGTGCGTGTGCACATGAAGGTGGTGTGTGTGAAGGAGAGCGAAGCATCAGAGGGAAGTTTGAAAAATGGCCGACACACGACCAAAGAGACGTCGTTCTGAAGAACAAAAAAGAAGAAGGAGTCGGATAAAGAATGTGCGAAGTTCTGAATTTACATCGGTAGCAAAGCTTTTGAACGATGGCGAGAACTCCGGCGGCAGAAGGGCTTACAGTCCGACGTCAGGTTGCTCTGTTTTTGCTGGACAGGTGGGTAACGTTAAATTGTTTTTTTCTTGACGCTTATGTTCGCCAAACCACACAAGGATATAATTTGCTAGAAATGCACGTTCACAATTATTTCAAGAAGCACGGAAGGGAGGGGGAGGAGATGAGATGCGGAGGAGGGAGGGTCTAGCTCCGATTTGTTTGAAAATATTCCGAACGTCAACACCCAGGATCGCTCAGAGAACCTTTAAGGTGGACATTGACACAATTTTCTTCTAAAAACAAACTTTGTTGTATTATTTTCATTTTATCACTGTGAAGTTGCTTTGATACAATCTGTATTGTAAAAAGCGTTCTGTAAATAAAGGTGATTTGACTTGACTCCACTCCGTGGACTGGATCAGTGCGATACTCTCCTCAGGTGAGTTTCCCCATAAAACCCTGAGTTCTTCAAGCACTGTTTACGTCAATGCCAGAGTTAAGCCTGCGGCAGCTTTCGCATTTGGCTTGGTGTCGACATGTGCATGGTTCCCCTCTGGTGACCCTTACATGTGTATTTCCACTGTAAGACTCAACATGTGTCTTTTCCTTACCTAGCCACCTTGTCACCCCTGGGGTTGAAAGATTTCACCCTGCGGGCTGGACACTCCAGTGTTCTTCATGCATCCCTCCGGATATACAGTATATATGTGTATTCTGTAAGACCTCCATTCGGGTGGGCATTTTGTTGCATATTTCCACTGAGATATGCTTCCCAGTGTATCTTGGAATTCCTGTGTTAAGTTAGAGTCCTTTGTCCATGCTAGTCTCATGACAGGGAGCTCACACTGGCGCAGGGCACTGGAAGACCTCCAAAAAGGTAGCGTGATTGGACTGATACCCCTATTTCGGCATCACTCAGCGTAACTCGGAGTGACTACGAAAGGGAACGTCTCGGTTACGTATGTAACCCTCATTCCCTGAGCAGGGAACAGAGACGTTACGTCTTCCAGCCACTTCCGCTGTTCAACCTGAGTTCAGTCTTGGCTCCTCAGCAGGAAACATTACTGCATGTTGCATCGTACTTCCTTATATACCCATAAGATGGGGCAGAGCAACATTATGCAAATTCTGCAGACCCATCGCATTTCTTTGCCATTGGCTCGCTTTGTAATACTCAAAGGTGATAGGATTCTGAGCAAAACCCCATTTCGTTGTCACTAGACGTAACATCTTCATTCCCTGCTCAGGGAACGAAGGTTACATACGTAACCAAGACGTTTTTTTGTTATTTTATTAGTTGTCTTGCATAATTGCTTGATTTTTTATATCATATTTATATAAAGTATTGTATATAAAAAAAAGTAAAAGCAATAACCTTTATTTGCATTTATGTATTTGTCTGATTTGTTATTTTGGAAGATATACACATATTAGGTGCATAGCACCAGGGTAGAGTAGAAGAGTAGAAGGCGATGAGGGCCCACATCAATGTTTTTTTTTTTTTTCTTCAGGGGGCCCAGAATTCCCTACGGCAACAACCCATATACAGTCTTGTTCAATATAAAGGCCAAATAATACATTTTACCTTCCATAAGCTTGAGAATTACATAATTCATATATATATATATATATATATATATATATATATATATAAATTATTCTTACGTCTAGACTCTAGGTTTGATCCAGTCAGCTTTGTTTGTTGAGATCATTAGCACAGCTGTTTCATAACATGCTCGATGTTCAGTAGGCCTATGTGCATTCAGGCACGTTGATCGCAAGGTACATTAGCAACAATCTTGTCTAACTTTTAAAAGGAAAGAAATAACTTATATCTAACAAAAATAGGTCAAATTGGCCGAATATGAAGGTTTGGTTCGTTTTAGGTTATGTTTACCAAAAACCGAAAGCAAATGGACACCAAGTCTTTAAACAAAAACATTTAACATGTCCTACTGGATTTAAGATTTTTCATAACCTACTTTCAGCCAATAGCGAGTTAGTTAAATATTCATTAATATAGCGTAAATATAAACTTACAGATACGATGACAAAACAGTCGATGTAAGATGTCTTCCGTCAGAAATGAGCTTCCACAAAATGTCCGTATTGAAATGTTCCTTTCACTTTCAACAGTGGCTCTTACTGAACCCTGTGACAATGTTTGTCTCCAATAGGAGGCGCTGTGATTCCATCAGGTGAAGCAGCGACGAATTAAATAGGCCTAACTGAGGGATCAATAACTTTCACATAAACTTTCACTTTTTCACATAAAAGCTCTAGTCACAGAACAAATAATTAGTTTGAATTATTGTAATTGTAATTTTGTGGAACATGATGGAAGGTGACTCGTGACATGGAGTCATATCCTAAAATCCTAATTTCAGAGAAAATAACTGATTTTTTGATTATCATTTTCTTTCATTTTAAATTATACTCAAAACACTGTAGAATTACAAATAATATCTGTAAAATATAAATGCTGCTGATATTTTAGGTATTGTGACATTAATGACCAATTCCAGTCATTCATTTTTTTTTTTTTTTTACAGAAAATTGATTGTATTTTTCATACAGTATTTTTTCTGTTTTCTTAAATTACATAAAAATGTAGCCTATGTAAAATTACAAATATAATCTGTAGTTAAACGGTAACAAAACAGTTAAATGATTACATGACTGGCAGCTCAAAAAACTGTAACATTAAAGTAAAACGTCATATATTAAATAAACTGAAAAACACTGTTATTTACATGTATGTCCTGCATTATTATGATCAAATACCTTCATTGTAAAAAAATAGTTAAAAAAAGGGTCAAATGATTGGCAGCGTGACGTTAACCTGGTTATGACGTTAAACTCTTTTTTTTTTTTTCCAATTCAAAGGCTGCATCCGCGAAGGCCGCAGATTGCGTCATCGCGGAGTTTTTTTTTATTTTTTTTATTTTATTGCAATTTCAAGATTTACAAACAAACATGGCTGCATAACTTTCTTTTCTTATATAGAGTATAAAGAAAATATAGCCAGAGGGAGCAGCACTTAATACAACAAGAAAATAAATGAAGTCTAAGTACAAAAAGGATATTTGTAAGGAAAATAAACATAAAAAAAAACCATAAATAATTAAGTAAATGGGAAGAATAATGATAAAACATACATGACAATAAGGGGTGAATGCAGTCTTTGTTCATCCATTAATCTCAGTTGGGAAGAGTTTTAGGGTATCATATATTTTTTGTGCCTTAGGACCTTTCAAAGTTTTTAAAGATTTTATATACAGTTCAAATTCCTTCAAGAAAACTACAAATTTGGGAGATGATTTCACAGTTCTACACTTATGAATGAAGAATTTGGCTAGACATACAATTGTATTAATACATAGCTCATCACCCTTGCTTTGCAATAACAACCCAAATGTAACATCGTCTCTGGATATAGAGGTTGGGAATGAAGATATCTGCTGCTTAACCCATTTATGTACATCACACCAAAATATCTGAATCACATTACATGAGAAAAACACATGGTCCGTAGTTTCAACATCATTTTCACAGAATGTACATGTGTTATCCTCTATACCAAAGCGAAGTCTCAGTAGTTCTTTAGAGGGATAAATGTCGTTCATTACTTTAAAGTGAGTTTCTTTCACTTTGGGAGGTATAGGGAGTGTTAGATACATTGTTCTTAGTTTAGTAATTTTCGCTTTATCAAATTTTTGTATAATATTATTTTTATTTTGCCTTTCAGGGAAAAGGTATTCAGTAAAACAATTTCTAATAAAATGGTTAGTGCATTTCCTATCTAATACAGAGATCCCTTGAATTGATAGTGGGGCCAATTGTGGTTGTATCGGATAATATGCCAAAGTGTTAGAAAGACAAATTGTTGGGGTAACAATTGTCGCAACATTATAATAATGTACACTTTGTTTTCAACCAATGTTATAATTTAGAATTATAAATTGCATTTAGTATCATTTAGCGATTTTATTTGGTAAGAGTAAAGTGCCTTTATTTTGAAGTCTCCGCGCTGTTTTGCAAGTGCTTTTATTTTGAAGTCTCCGCGCTGTTTCGCAAGGCCTTTTGGGACACTCGTGAGTGATAGTCGCAAGCTAACAGCAAGTGAAGCACGGACAATTTAATGTGCTGATAAAAGTGTTAAAGTTGTTATAAGTGGATGTCAGCTATCTAAGAAAACTCTTTATTCCCTTGTGTACGGCATGCAGCCAACGAGGTATGTTTTGTGTCTGTATTTTACTTTGGTGAACGTTATTTTACATGCTACGCATGTCATTGCATGTTCATTCCAAGCTAATGTGTTTTTTATTTTTTCGTTACACTGTGTTTAGTTTTCACGGTGAACTTGGAGAATAAGCTTCAAATAAACCTGTAGCAAGAAAACCACTTGTGTCTGCCAGTGCTTCGAGGGAATTACAGTGAAAACTCGGACTGTTCATCAACGCGAGTGGACATTAATCGTCGGCGCGCGCAAGTTCAAAGGAAAAGCAACGGTAGCGCGCTGAGCTGTCATCAGAGGACTGAATCCGAAAACATGCACGCACGCAGACAGAAGTAAGAGGACGCATAGATCTTAATGAACAACGTTTTCAAGACAAAGCCATAAAGAACTTGGACACTATAAGTCAAGAGTGATCTAAGAAGAAGGCTACTATTAAGGTTTGCCAAAAGGATTTTTGCGTCAATATAACATCTGTAGTGTGTGTAGTGAATGTTTTGACTCATGTGACCATGTATTATACATTGAAGCTTGCCATTTGAGTTAAAAGGAAATTATATTCAAGTTTTAAATAGTGTTTGGAAATAAGTGAAGGTATTATTGGCCATTTAATATTTAAGTGTCTAAGCTTATAAACTCTGCAGAGTTCATGCATAATGAGCACATTCTGAAAAGTAATTTCCAAAGTTGAGTTTAGCCCTTTTTGCTCATTTTAAATTTTCTAATCACATTTTAAACCTCATTGAAAACCTTTAAGTCATATAAGCTTACAAGTAACAACATGTAAGTGACATTTACATTGCAGTAAGTGTTAAAGGCAAACCTAACAGTTTAATTACACCCTTTATTTAGAGGATTAATTTAAAGGATTAGACAATGTCAGAGTCAAGTGAGCCTACAACCCAGGTTAGGGAAAGCATAAAAGAAGATCAAGTTGGTGTTGCTGGAGTCCAGCAAGAGGAAGTGCAGCAGCCAAGACGAAGTCAAAGAGTCAGAACTCTAACCGAGAAAGGTAGAGAATTGCAAGATGAAAAAATTAAAGCGCTTCAACAAAGGTTCAACTACATTTATGAAAATTGGAGAACCCAAGTTAAATCTTCAAGGAAGCCTTTATCACAGTCAAAAGAGCCCTTACCTGATGATCTGCTTAATGACATTATCGATTGCGTCACAGGTCTTTCTACAGACGTTCAGTGTGTTTATGATGAACTACGTGACATCTCAACTCCAGAGCAAGACACGTCGAAAAGTGGATTTGTGTGTGGAGATTTCCAAGTTCATTGTATCCAGAGCCTTAAGTCGACTGGATGGAAAGATTCCAGAAGGAGAAAAGCAAGATTGGCCTGAAGCAGGCTCTCTTTTCGACTCAAGTACATACAAATCGGGTTCTGTCACTTCTCTCTTGAAAAGCAATTCGGTGCATTCAAGTAGGTCTTCTGTTAAACGACAAGAAGCTGCCGCTGAAGCTGCTGCGAGCCAAGTTGTTCTGAAAGTGTTACAAGAACAAGAGAGAGAACAATTGGAAATACAGCGCCTAGAAGCAGAAGCTAAAAGGAAGATGGCTGATCAAGAGGCGGCAGCAGTAAGGCGTCGTTTAGAACAAGAAGCAGAGGAAGTGAATCGAAGACTACAGAGAGAGGAAGACGAATCCAAAATTAAAGCTCAACTGGAAGAAGAGTTTGGAGTTCTACAGAAGACTCTAGAAGAAAAACGTAGGAGGATACAGCATTTGGAGGCAGTAAAAGGTCTTAAAGCAGCACGAGCAAGAATGCAGGTATATGATCAAGTGAAAGTCATAGAAGAAGAATGGAAAGACATACCAGAGTATGAGATTGAAGCAGATAACAAAGTCTCGGCTCCTTCAAGTCCTCAGTCTCTACATATGACCTCCATCCCACAAGCTATGACCACCTCAAATGAAAGTACATCAGAGCTCATTAAGGTGCTTAGAGGCGCTTTAAGTGCCAACAGAATTCCAGTTCCTGAACCTTCAGTTTTCAGTGGAGATCCATTGCAATACAACGATTGGAAACTCTCCTTTGAAACATTGATCGACCAGAAGAACCTTCAAGACAAAGAAAAGATATACTACCTTCGAAGATATGTGAGTGGACAAGCTAAGAAAGCCCTCGATGGTTATTTTCTTCTCGGAACTGAGTCTGCCTATGTTGCTGCATGGGAGATTTTGGAAGAGAGATATGGAAACCCATTCACAATTGCTAAAGCATACAGAGACAAGCTCCAGGTGTGGCCCAAGATGGGATCTAAGGACAGCCTTGAGCTCAGAGAGTTCAGCGATTTTCTCCGTAGTTGTGAGGCTGCCATGGTTCATATCAAGGCATTGGAAATCTTGAATGACTGTAATGAAAACAGGAAAATTCTCTCCAAGTTACCTGATTGGCTAACGGCAAGATGGAACCGGAAGGTTATCGAAGTAGAAGAAGAGAGAAACCAATTTCCCTCCTTTAGCGAATTTGTCAAGTTTCTGGCAAGGGAGGCCAAAATTGCCTGCAATTCTGTCACATCATTGCAATCCCTAAAACAAGGTGAAGCTGAAAAACCAAAAGTCCAAAAACACCAAAGCTTCAGAGCAAAGACACTTACCACAAGTTCCAGTGAACAGACTTTAACTACATGCACTTTCTGTAAGAAAACTGGGCATACTTTGCACAAATGCAGGAAGTTCATGGAGAAAGCAGTTTCAGAGAGAATCAAATTCATTCAAGTTGAAAGGCTATGCTTTGGGTGTCTCAGGTCTGGTCACCAGTCAAAGAGCTGCAACAGTAGGAATGTCTGCGACATTTGCACCAAGCGGCATCCTACCTGTCTGCATGAGGAGCGAGACAAAAAGGAACAAAGACTGTCACAAGCCAAGCAAAATCCACAAGCCAAGCAAAATCCAAGTAA